CAGGTGGGAGGCTGGCAGGCAGGTGGGAGGAGGGCAGGCAGGTGGGAGGAGGGCAGGCAGGTGGGAGGTGGGCAGGTTTGTAGAAGAGGGGTAGGCGAGTGAAAGCCTGCCCTTCCATCACCGGCAGTCCCAATGGCCGGCTCCATCTGAGGTCCTGTGGTCCCCTGGGGAGAAGGATTCAGTCACTTCCTTAGGGAGCCCACCCAGGGCCCCACCTCCTGAGCTCCTTCCTGTCTCGCCTGATTCCCGTTGACCAAGAGCAAGTGAACGGGTGAATACAGGGGCGGTAGGTAGTATTTCCGGCAACCACCCGGGCTGTCGATGTGCATGGAGTTATTCCCACTGCAGCCCGCATCTCACACCTTTGCCTTTCTCCTGCAGACACCTGAGCTCCTTGGCAGCTGGTCCTGGGTCCAAAACCAGGAGGCCTCACTGGGTCCCAGCTCCATTTCTGAGTCCAGCTTCCGCAGGGGAGCGAAGGCCTCAGGGACCCTGGCGAGCCGTCCACTTCGGCTGTGGCTCCTGCTCAGCTGCCCGCTCTTTAGGAGATCTACGAGTTTCTCCAAGTGCACGTGCCAAACTCTGCCTCGGAACAACCAAGCTGGGAGCTCGCACAAATGCAGATTTTTGGGCCTGGCTCCAGGTTGCTGATTCGGAATCTCTGGAAACAGGCCAGAGAATGTGCACCTTTAAGAAATTTGAGACCCTAGATCAGGCTGACAGAAAGGCTGGCGTGCGGGACTGAGCTCTGTGGCAGAACCTGATTGTGATCCGGGTATTCGGGAATTGTTCCAAGTCCACTAACCTCCGCCACGTCCAGCCCACATACCTCTGCCAAATGCACACCAAACCAGGCTTTGTCCTGCCCTGCCTGAAGTCCACACCCTGTGCCCCAGGACCTTTGCTTCTGTTGTGCCTACCAGTTCCACTATCTTTGCGTATCTCTATTCTGCCAGTCCTTCAACATCCAGCTCAAAGGCTGCCTCCTCCTGGAAGCCTTCCCTGATCCCTCAGATGGTAGCCATTTATTTATTTGTGTCTTTGCTCTATGTATTCCTCACACATTTATTTAACTCTTCCTTTAATCCAAGGTTTGTACTTAAGGTACCCTTTGCCTTGTCTGCATCATCTTTCATGTATTCATCAGGTACCACCTTGGCCCGAGAGTGGAATAGAGTAGGCATGGTCCCAGGCTCCATGGTGGCCTCACTCCCGAGAATATAGTTCTTTAGTTTCTTATCTTGTCCGCTCTGTTGATGCTGAGGCTCCCGGGGGACAGGGGCCATACCTGACTCATCTCCAAGCACCAGGGTCCCCAGCCTGGGGCCCAAGACCCACAGGAAATGCAGCAAATAATGGGCACTGCCACCCCACCCCCCAGGGCTGCCCTGCTTGATCACCTGCTTCCAAAGCCCCATGATGGGGGCTCCTGGGCATCAGAACCGTCAGCTGGTCTGTCCCTAAAGGAGATGCTAAAAAGGTTGCTCCTTCTGAGGAACACATCTCTTTGGGCCCCGAAGTCTGCTCCTGTTTCCAGAGGCCCCTGGGAAAGGCCACCGTCTTACCCCAAAGCCTATGTGAGCTGCTGCCCCGTGGGGACTGGGGGCAGGTGTCCAGGAGCAAGGAGTTGGTCCCAGAGGTGGGGTTTGGTGAGGGTGGGGGCAGGGGGTGGGGAGGAGGGAAGAGGACGCTAATGATGCTGACTCTAACTTACAAAGGCTGATGTTCAACGTGCACTGGGGCCGTGGTCCTAAGCTCTCTCCCTGTACTGACTTGGTCCTCGTGGCAGCCATGTGAGCCAGGCGCTCTCGTCGCGTCACTTTTCAGAGGAGGAAACGAAGGCACAGGATGGGTAAGTAGCAGAGTGGGGCTTTCATCCAGAGCCTGGCTCTGAAAGGAAAGGAACACAGCCCACCGTGCTGCCTGCCTTGGGCCCCAGGCGGGAGGTGACGGGCCTGGGCGCCTCACACACTGACATTGACAGGAGCACTCAGGTCTCTCCAGGGGGAAGGCGCGGTTCAAGGGCATAATCGTCACCAGGGAGAGGCGGCAGAATTGCTCTTGGTGCAACTCATATACGTCGACATGTCATTCGTTTACAGGGCCTGGAGATGCTGCGGTGGGGAGGGCAGGGTGAGCCTGTGACCCCACGTGGTGTCCTCAACAGCTGGGGAGACCCTGAAGCTGCATTTATCTGAGAGAGGGCGGGGGTTGGTCCTGGTCGGGTAGAGGCGGGGAAGAGTTCACTGTCACGCTGTGAAGTCGCCCTCCCGCTTGGGGACAGTCGGGGAGGAGGGGGGCGCACTGCCAGGTCCCCGGCAGCCCTGCTTGGCAAGAAGGCCCAGCCTGAGCTCCCCCTGAGCTGGTCTAAGCGAGATCACCTGCTGGTAGAGTCATACAGATTTGAGTTTTAGTCCTGACGCTGTCCCTTGTCAGCCGTGTGGTTTCCACATCACTTCTCTGGTGGTCTCTGTTTCCTCCTTTATAAAGGAAGATGAATAAAACCTCACTTCACAGGGCTGTCCAAGAATGCTCACGAAGAGCTGGGCCTGGGTCCTGAAAACAACGCCCGGTGGATATTGGGGGAACATTAGCAGCTGGGCATCCCCTTGCTGGGAGAAGGTACGTCGGGGTTGGGGTGGGGGCAGTGAGGGAGCCTGGAAGGAGAGGGAGAGGGGCTCACAGTGTCAGGAAGTGGGCACTATCCATAGACTCTCCCACCAAATCCTACTAACTCTTTCAGGCTGATACTGTTATTAGCCCTAATTTACAGATGTGGACACAGGCTCAGCCAGATGAAGCCTGAAGTCCCAGGGCTAGTAACCGGCCACAGCCAGGATAGGGAGCTCGGTTTGCCGACTCCAAAGTCCCCATCCTGCAGATGCGCCTCCCGGGTCTACGTGGGTGGTCCCAGGGACGGGGTGGGGACCTCCCATGGTCCGCTGGGCCTCCTCAGCCCTCCTGGGAGTGTTTATGCGGACACGTCATTACCTGGTGTAATTAGTCCTAACGAGGATTGAGGATCCATCACTGATCAGGAGCAGAGTCTGTCGCCAATCTGGGACTTCTCCTCGTGTTTTCCCTGTGGCCCAGCAGTGCCTGCAGCAGAAGGGGACCAGCACGCCCAGCCCGTCAGAGGCCGGCTCTGGTGACCAGAAGGTGTGGCCCAGCCGCCTCCCTGACCCCTCCCCAAGCCTGCTCTGTCCTCAGATTCGGCCCTTTTGAGTCCCCTGGGCTGTCAGGCTCGGGGACCCCCTTCACTCTCCCTCCTTCCCCGCCTCCCCTCCCCCAGCCTCCCCTGTTTACTCTTGGTCATGTCCCTGTGGACCCCTGACAATCCCTTCCAGTCCCCTCCCCTCCCATGGTCATCTGGGGCCTTGATGGCTGAGACCCCCGGGGCCCTTAGCGGCCTCACTTCTCACCAGCCATGTGATCGAGAATGAGCTATCTTTCTTTCTTTCTTTTTTTTCCCTTTCTGAGCCTCGGTTCCCGACATCTCAAATGCGGGTCGTGACACCTGCCCCACAGAGGCTGGGTTACAAAGAAATGCGAGATGTACATGAAGTGCCCCGCAGACGCCCGGTGTGCAGTATCTGCTCGGGAAGTGGCTCCCCGGGCCTGTCATCCCTTTCCCCCGGCGCTACCGGTACCCCAGTATTTCAGACTGTTGGAGGCATCCAAAGTGCAAACTGAAGCTGGCGTGCCCAGCCCCCGATGACCCATCCACAACTGTCTGTACAGCTCCATCCTCTTTAGACCCTCACCCTCACCCGCACTGAGCTACAAGCTTTCCAGAACACTCGCCAGTCCTCAAGAGTGCCTCATACTTTGCTCAAGGTGCATCCTCTGTGTGGAATTAGCCTGACCTGCTGCTCTGACCATGAGCCCAGAGCCTAACCCCACTTTCCCTCTGGGTCCAGCTCTAAGAACACCCTCTCCAGGAAGCCTTCCAGGATGCCCCAGAAAATCAGACCTTCTCCCTCCTGTGAAGTCCTGTGCCTCCCAGTGTAGACACCCCTTGTCTTTACCAGCCACCTCTCCTTGGGTACGGGTCCGACTTCTACCTTTGCTCGAGCTGCAGCTCCATCCAGCCGGAGAGTGAAGGCTACACAGGGCTCTGGACACAGCTCAGGGCTGTGGTCCTGAGTACCCCACCCTGGGCCAGTCCTGGGCAGGCTCAGTGTCCACACTGTACCCCTGCCACGCCCTGTGCTCTGGGCAGGCCTCACGTGAGCCCTCGGGGGCGTAACACGTGGTCTCATGATTCCAGCATCTATGAGTTCTGGAGTCTGGGCTTCTCAGGGTCTGCGGGTCTCAAACACGCCCCTTCTGTGGTCTGCAGACTCGCCGGTGCTCTGACTGTGGGAATTGGTGGGTCTAAGCCACTCTGGTGCTGTGAGTAGGGGAATCCGGGAGGGTGGGACGCTGGATGCTAAAGTCTACACTTTGTTTCTGAAGTGGACACTTTGGTGAGCTGAGATGATGTGACCTTGAGGGTTGGTGAGTCACGGTGCCCTCAAATGCCCCGAGAGCTGACTTGGTGCCTGTCTGAATCTGGGCCACCTGCAGTAGCGAATGGGTTTGAATCTGGCCCCACCACTTAGCAGTTGTGTGAACTTCGATGCTTTGAGCCTCAGTTTCCTCATCTGTGTAATGGGGTTGATGACAGCAGGTGGTTGTGACACCACCAGAGGCCTGCTCTGTGTCCGGGTTGCTGTGACGGGTGCTGAGGAATGGACAGTGGGGCCATGCGGGTGAAGGCGCATACACAGGACCCAGGCGGTGGGCCTGCCTCTGCAGAGTGGTGCGGGGCTCCCGGGGGGGCAGGTGGAGGACCAGGCGCACTTCCTCGCCTCCAGGTGGGATGTCAGCAGTCAGCCTGAACTTGGGGTTCAGATCAGTGCTGTCCAATAAAAATATCATTTTGTAGTAGCCACATTACAAAAGTTAATAAAGTGAAATTTACTTTAAGAATGTGTTTTATTGAACCTAATACATCATTTCAACTGGTAATACTAGTAGACTATTAATAATGAGAGAGTGTGCATTTTATCCATACTAAGCCTTAAAAATCTGGTGTTTTTAGGCTCATAGTACACCTCCGCTCCAGCCGGCCAGGGGCTACTGCGCGGGACAGCCCTGGCCGGTGTTGGCAGAGGCCCTGCATCCACGTAAGAAACGGGCTGGGTCGTCCTGACGGCAGAGGTGCGGCCGGGTGGGCCTTCCCTGTTTACCTGCATAGCGCAGCCCTTCTGAGCCTAAATTCTCAGGGACCTGGGCTTTCCTCAATTCCAGGCCCAGCGTCTTCTCGGAAGGTGACCTTGGACAAGTGTCTTCAAGGTCATGGGAAGATTCAATGAGATGATGCCAGTAAAGTGCTGTGCCTGTCACTCGGCAAATGGTGGCCCCGGTTACAATGTATTGTTTTTGTCACGCTGCCGCCTCCGCAGGGCACTGACCCATCCCCGTGCGTGTGTGTCTCCACCTGCCAGACGCTCGGTGCCAGCCCCCGCCGGTCGGACTGGCGGATGGCAGGTGCGCAGGCTGTGGGCACGGTCCCACTGCCTGGCAGGAGCTCGCCTCACGGATGCACCGACACCAACTGTCACCAGCTTGACCCCAAGACCTGCCCTTTACTGCCCACCTGCCCCTACTCACTAACCGCTGTCTTATATCTTTCCTTAGGCTCTTCCCTCTGGCCTACCCCTTAACTCGGGCAAATGAAACCCGAAACCAGCCCTCGGCTGATGGTGCCGGCCTTGCCAAGACCTCCCACCGGCCCAGACCACTCAGACCCTGTGTGATAAACCGTGACGGACGCCTGTGTGCATGGACCATGGGGTGACCTCATTATAATCATTATTATAATTACCTTTACCTCATTATAATACTAAAATCTCTACCCAAGGAGGAGCCTCAGCCTCATTTACATAACATACAATGTGTGTCTAGGCATGTTTCCTCCAGGCACATGGGGACACCCCCCCACATTTAATGACAAGAGCTTCCCTATCTAAATACTCATCCTAACCCTAAACAAAAGGTACCTACTCACCCGCTTTTGGGGAGTCATGGCTTTGGAAGCTTTTCCACGTGATCCACTTACTTGCCCTAAATAAGTTTTTTCTTTGTGTGACAACTCATCTGGTGTAGTTTCTGTGACTCACAAGGAGCGAACTCACGTTGGTTTGGTTACAGAATCACACCTGGGCCCAGTAGACACAGATCACACCTGGGCCTAGCAGACACAGATCATGCCTGGGCCCAGGAGACACGGATCATGCCTAGGCCCAGGAGACATGGATCATGCCTGGACCCAGCAGACGCGGATCACACCTGGGCCTAGGAGACACAGATCACGCCTGGACCCAGCAGACACGGATCACGCCTGGACCCAGCAGACACAGATCATGCCTGGGCCCAGGAGACACGGATCATGCCTGGACCTAGCAGACACAGGTCATGCCTGGGCCCAGGAGACACGGATCATGCCTGGGCCCAGGAGACATGGATCACGCCTGGGCCCAGGAGACATGGATCACGCCTGGACCTAGCAGACACAGATCACGCCTGGGCCCAGGAGACACGGATCATGACTGGGCCCA